GGGGGGGGGGGGGGGGGGGGGGGGGGGGGGGGGGGGGGGGGGGGGGGGGGGGGGGGGGGGGGGGTTCGGCGACTTCCCACTCCACCCTACCCCATTTTACTAGTCGATCCTAAACTACGACGGTGGGCGGAGAAGGAGCGGGTGGGGTGGGAGCGGAGGGAGGAAAGTAGGGCTATCGAACAAAGTTCTCTACAGCAATAAGATAAATCAAGATATTTTTATGTTAAAAGAAGAACTAATAAAAGCTTTTTGAAAATTTTTTTTAGTGGTAAGAAATGTTTCGGTCCATTAAGTCGTAAAATAACTGCTACCCGTGCCGTTGGGGGGGGACGAAACACCCATCGCCCCTCTCCTTCCCCTCTCTCCCCTCTCCTCTGGGTCCGCTAATGGGTAAAATGATAAAAAAAAATAGAAAAATGATAAACTAGTACGTTCCAGATGCACTAAAAATCATATTATAAATTTTCCGCGTTGACCTCGCTGCTTGTACTGCCAATTTTGAGGGCATGCTCGGATGCCAGCTTCCAAGCATGGATAATTTCGGTGATCGTCCGACAATTCACAGCCATATTCAGCCGTTTATCGAACTGAATGTTCACATCGGTCAGACTGATACCACCATATGACCACCGGTCACGCCATATTGTTGGCTTCGATTCTGGATAATTCGTTGGTATCACCAGGCGCAGCGGCGGTATGAGGAGCTGAAAAGAAAAAAAACGGCAAATTCCTGGAAGAAATTTTTTTTTCTTGGATATTCTGGATATGTGTATAAGTCATAAACTAAATTTTAACGATGCCCGCCCATACAAGCACCATTTTCTCGTATCTTATGCCCCCTCCCCCCTTCTTCCCCTCCCATCAGTTGAAAAACCATATAATCATTATTAAACATTGTCAGGTCCTATCCACTAACAAAACCGTCGATGAATTCCACGTTTGAGGATTCCTTGGAAGTACGCTGATGGCAGATTTGTCTCCGTGGCATATGCCAGTACCAATTTACCATCGAAACAAATGAACGAGTTGTTATAAGGCACGACATATCTGAGAGAAACTGTGCAGACTTACATCTTCGTTTTCAACAAAAACCTGAATTTCTGTACAATCATTTGAGATAGGCTTGAATTCCGGATCAAATCTGAAATTGCAACATCAAATTTTAGGATTTAAAATGACGTCACTTCGGTAAAACAAACAATTTTTAAGACTAGCCAAGAATCTGATTTCCCCAATGACCTGCGGCCTAAATCCACGGAATCGAATAATTCAGGAATATCAAAAACTGAATTTGAAAAAGAGTGAAAACAGCAGCTCTGATACACAAGTTAAAACTTTATTCGCATTTCCCCGCGACAGAGTGATATAGAAGCACTTAAAAGTTAGCCATACAGTAACAAGTGTCAACAAGTAACCACCACCTGGAAAGACTGTCGGATGGATCCCTCTTTCAAGCGTTTACAGCTTAGGGATGAAACACAGACTGGATAACAGCTGAATGTACACACAGGCTCACTTATATGGGTATCTAAATTGGCACTTCCTACTTTCCCAGAAGTGTCAAAATTCGATTGTGTTCCTCTCAATGGCGGGTCGACAGTGCCAAACAAGCTATGTTAACAAATAGAAGACTTCAGGCCCCCCACTTCTCTCAATTCTCTAGCCAGAAATATTCATAGTTTTGCATCCTAAAAATTTCTAAAACACTTGCTTACAAGTAAACTGAAGATGACTGGTGTAGAAATTAAAAAAAAGTTTGCAGAAAAAATAAGCAAAATTAAGTACCTGTAATTGTAGGGCCGAAGCTCCGCGGATGCTTCATAAGGTAGATCCATCTCCGAACCATCTTCACACAGCACCATTATACAGTCTGTGAATTAGAAATCAATTAAATTAAGAAAAACAAAAGTCGCTTTGATTTCCAATCGACCATTGCCTTCATGATTTAAAACTATATGATTTCAGTCTTCAATAAAAACTAACCTCTGGCGTCCAGTTCTTCTTTTTTTATTCGTTTTGCTGGCAAAAAATTTCCAATTCCGTCACGTTTCTCTTTTTCTTCTTTTATCAGATTTGTTACTTTCTCAGGAACCCTGAAAGTGATCAGTTTGAAATCAAATAGAACGGCTAAATCAAAACTAAGACGTTCCATAAGGTCTTCAGAAATTTGCAAAGCACACTGTTAGAAACGAAGGTTGAATTTACGCTGGAGTATTTAAAGCAACAGCTCCATGGATCTGGTTGAAAAAACCAGGACATAAAAGCGGAACTGCATGATAAACAAGAAAAAAGGGAAGATACAGTAACAGAGCAAAAACGGATCTTTACAAGACATAAGAAATTTCGCAACGTCAAGAAATTTCAAGAAATTAGCGACAAACTCAATGCATAGTTTCTGAATAGTCAGGAAAATCAAAATTAA